CACTTTTTATTCAGCCCTGTCTTCAGAACTGTCACCAGAAGTCCAGGTCAACTAATGGACATATTTATTTTTACTTTTTAAACACTTGATTTTCTAAAAGAACCTCTCTGTTCAAATTGGTTTTGACCATCTTTCTTATTTTGCCTTGATCTTTGACCAAGGATACATTTTGATATGTTTATCCCATGAGGTACCTCACTCTTCCAAGACTTTGATTAATAGGATTAGTAGCACACCCTGACCCTAACTTGACTTTGTCTCTCTGGGAGAGCTTTTCCAGGAGGAGCAGTTTACTTATTTGGAAAAAAGATTCCAAAGTAGGGGTCCTTACCCTTTTTGGGGCCATGACCCCCTTTGAGAATCTAATGAAACCCATGGACCCCTTCTCAGAAAAATGTATTTAGATGCATAAAATAAAATATGTATATATAAATTGTGTAACAAAGGAAACCAATTATGCTCAAATACAATTATCAAAATATTACTGGCTTGTATGGATATTTAGGTACAAAAGAACCTTTGAAATACAAACTGTGTTGACTATTATGAATTACATGGCTTTGGAGAAAAGGGTATTGCACACAATAAAACGTATTCTGGTTTCACTTTTTAAAGGTATAATAATTTTAGATAGTGAGATTTATTGAAATCAACACTCATTTTTGGAGTCTGGAGGCCATAAATTACTTTGTTGCCTACATTATTATTGAATGAAAATATAAATTAAAGCTAAATTTCAGGTAGAGGTTAGTGAAAATAAAGTTGTAATTTTATATCCCATCCAAGTTCATGGACATCCTGAAAACTATCCACAGACCCTCGGGTTAAGGACTCCCTGTGCTAGCGGAAGTATAAAAAGCTTCAGAAGTCACTTCTATGACCCAGTACAGGAAATCTCCCAATAAACCCTTTCTTTTTATCTAGAGATCTGGCTTTATTCATTTTAAAGGGAATTTTTCATTAAAACCTCCTCAAGACCACATGGTTCCATAGTTTTGAGTTTCAGGACAGGCATAATAATCTCTGCATTCGGGGCTTAAGGCAGAAAGATCCAAAGCACCTCCCTTTCTATTTTCCTAGAGTTGGGCTGAAGGAAGATGTCCTGGCTAAGAGGGCTAAGGACTTTCCAGTTGGACAGACAGAGAGCGTCAGGAATCATAGCTACCTTTTTCTGGGGAACTCCTGCAAAGGGAATCTGCCAGAGAGGATTTATGTCATCACCCCTTCCATTTTACAGTATATATAAAAAGAAACATGATTGGTGATACAGGTTAATGTGTCTGATCTTGCAGGAACAGGATTTTGGAGAAATTTCTAAACACAAGAGAACTGCACTCATCAGGAACAACCTGAGATTGAAAGCAGCTGGAAAATAATAATAATAATAATAAAAAATAACCTACTCCCTTTTGGAGGATTTACCCCGTTTGCCAAAAGGAGAACAGAGAAAGGTCAGTTCAAAGTTGTTATCTCAGTACCAAGTGTTACAATTTTCTCCAGCCGAATATGCTGTAGATATTTTAGCTGCAGTTCTCTTCATTCCCTGCAGGATAAAAGGAATTGTAGTCAAAGGCATTTTTAAAGTGAAAGGTTAGATTATTTCTCTGTTTTGGCAAAAGTGGCAAAGTTCAATAGATCCTACAGCGTGGAGCTATCACTAAGGAATTGTTCTAGAAGTTACATACACTTTTATAACCCTGCCATTTTGGTAGACAACCCAATTTGATTTGAAGAGGTAAACAGAATTTGCTTATAAATACCACAGGTTTCAAGAGAACACCAAAAAGGTTAGTTTCATGCAATCCTTTCAAACAGAAATCCCAGATGAGCCTTTACTCTGTAAGAGATAAGCCAGTCAGAAACAAAAGGAAAATCACTGCATTCTGAGAACAGAAAGTAACTTATTCTCCTTCCCAGCACACAGTAATCTTCAAGATCTGAAATTCCTGAGATGAAAAAAGCCCATTTTTTTTTTTAAAACTTGTTTTGCAGACAAGATATATTTAATACTTGTTTTATAAGAAACTTCTAGATCAAGCTTTTCACTAGGTTGTAATTAGTGGGAACTGCAACAAAATATTTGTTTGTGTAATGCTCTTCAGAATGCCAGCTAGCAAGGCATGCAGAGAATTGGTTCATGTTAATGACTGTGTTTGCACAACTCGATTAGCCAATTGTATTTAACCAAGTGTTGTTGTTGTTAACCTAATGAGGTCAGAACTGTTCTCAAAAGACCAAATTTATTATGGACCTATCCAGTTATTAAGGTCTACCGAGAGGCCCTTTTGAAGATGATCCTGCTGTCAAAGGCCAATCCTTCTGGCATAAGGAGAGGACCACATCCTGTGTTGCTCTCAGTATGCATCCCCTTTGGGGATTTGGCAAATCTCGGCATTTCTTTCACCGATCTTTTTTTTTTTTTTGGTTAGATGATTTTAGTATTTAACTTTAATCCATGTTTTGTTTATATATTAACTTCTGTTAACTGTTTTCGGTGCTCACCAGAGCAGAAGGTGGAGTATTAATTCAATAAATGCTTAAATCTTTCTTGATCTGAAAACAAGTTGTACAATCCCTGCAAAACTGAGCAAGAGTAATTTCCTGAAGTTGCTGCCAGCCAGTCTTGACAACTGATACACATTTCAGTATTTGAACCTGCTCAAGCTAATACACTTTGTTTTTCCAGTACACTGGAGATGTGATGCTTCAAATTATGTACCTACTACAAACTAATTCAACAGAAAACGGTCAAAGCAGGGAGCATCATTAATTAAAAAATCATGGGAATCCACCAAAGCAGCAACTGATTGATATATAAAGTGTGATGCAGGTTTGGCAGATAGAATATCTTTTAGCAGAAACAGTGTTATTTCCTCAAACACTAGATTTTAAAACAAACGTTTCTTCTGATCATTCATATGGCATTTCTCCAAAGGACAGTCAATCCAGATACAGCCTCCCACTGTTCCCAGAATTAGATGCAATGGCCCTTGGCAACAGCCAGAGTCTAAAAAATTGATGAAGTAACTCTTCAGGTTCCAAACTATTGTCACAGTACAATAGTACACAGAACAAGCAGGCATTAGAAATGAAATGTTATTCGTTTCTATCTCCCACCTCATACTGGTAAAATTATCAGTGATGGAAAACGTTCTAAATGGGCCTATGGACTCTTGCATCTGCTTGTGAATTTTTCTTCCACTTTAAACCCATAGTTGATAAAAGAAACACAAAGCATGGCCAAGAGTCCAGGAATGCAGCTTTGGCTTTTCTATTAAAGCCAGATGTACTAAGCTGTGGTACAAGACACAATAGTGCTCTCAAATCTCTTTTGCGAAGACTTCACAATTGGGCAAACAAAGCACACTCACAAAAAAAATTAAGAGTTGAGTGATGGTCCCCCTCTGCCAGTTCTTCTCGGTACGGAAGCTTTTTTGCCACAACCAGTGTAACTAAGGAGGAATGTAATACAACTTTATTGTGTGGGGAAGGGTTATGATAAAGTGTTTATTTTTTATTGTTCAAATGTCACACACCAAAACATGTTCATTTCAAATATAGAAGATTAGGGCTGGACCAGCTGTCAGCCATGAAAGCTCTTTAGGTGATTTTGGACAAACCATTCTCTCTCAACCCAACCTATCTCAGAGTATTATTATTATGGGGGAAAATAAAACACCCAACTGTATGGAAGATATTGCTTCAACCATTTATATTTGTTTTAAGAGAACTCTTTCTTCCAGTTAAAGATTTCCTGATGATTGCTAATATTCAGAAAATGAAAGACATCTGCTCATAAGGAAGCAGCTTAGAAAAATAGAGACAAGGTTTATTTTCAGATTCTTAAAACAACTGAAAAATACTAAGTACTTCTTCAGCAGTTTAAATAATCAATATTTATAAGTACAAAACTGAAACTAAGTATTGATACTAGTTTACATTAGTTTAATTTTTCATACCAACAATTTCAAGAAACATTTTCTTTTCCAAGGAAGCAAAGATCAACTTGACAGTAAAGTCTGTTTGTGTTTGTCATTTCATAACTGTTGTTTTGGTCGATGAAGATAAATCAAAATATCCAGTATCTATGAAGTTTTTTGTCAGTAAAATCTAAGACATTTACGTAATATTAATTTCTTCCCCACCTTCAAAATACAGACGAAGGAACAGAGGACTGAAAGCATAACCTTTCCTTCTTTCCTCCCTCCCTCCCCCCTCCCCTCTCAAATGGATTCATTATAATCTATGTGGCTATTTAATTCTTACAGACTGATTGAGGAAGATGACAATGTTTATTTTTAACTTAGCTTATTTAATGGCTTGGTACATACTGGAAATAATTTAATCACATTCTTTTATATAACATGCCATACAACACAAATTAATGTCCTATGTAGTCTAGAAGGCCCGTGCTTCAGCATATATGAAAGACTTCAAGAAGATGGAAGAGACCCAAAAGATCTATGTAAGAAATACCATGGCTTTGGTATTTCTATTTAAGAAATTTCCTACATGGCTTTGGACCAGTGTACCCAAAGGAATGCATTTCCCAGCTGTCTATGTGCTGAGATAATCTGAGCCCCTCATTCAGGTGCCTGTGCCATCAGATGTGAGATGGGTGGTAGCTGAAAAAAGCCCATTCTCAGTTTCTGATGTTCTCTAACCAGAGAACCTCGCCTGATTGTTGCTATTTGTACCAAAAAAAGACAATTTTATTTTAAAATTTTAACTGTGATTATATTGTTGCCAGTTTTAATATGTGGATAGAAGAGGAAATGGGTTAGAGTTGGACATTTATTTATTTATTTATTAAATTTATATGCCTATAAAGCCCCCATGGCAATGCAATGTATGGCTCCCTCTCAGTGACATCTTGGGAATAAAACATCTGTTCATGAAATGAAACATACTACAAAAACAGAAATGTGAATGTATTGTCAAAGGCTTTCACGGCCGGAATACGATGGCTGGTGTGGGTCTTCCGGGCTGTGTGGCTGTGTTCTGGAAGTTTCTGGAAAACTTCCAGAACACGGCCACACAGCCCAGAAGACCAACACCAGAAATGTAAATATTTGCCTATACAACTTCCTCAAAATAATATGGTACTTATGCAGTATTCCTAATAAAAAATCTTTTAAAATGCTTCTGACATGTTGGCCACAATATGGCATACAGCTATGCATATGCAACTCCTATAAGTCTCAAGAGGACTTTGCACAATTACACAATTGTACAATTAATTTATGCCAAAACTGATCAGCTGATAGTGACTAGTATCACTAGTGACTCATTCTCTGGTAAATGTACTGTCAGTGCCTCAGTATGAAAAATATAATTTAAAAGGGGACTTTTATTTTGAGCTACTGTAAACCCAGCATGTAATTATTACCTCAGGAAAACTTGAATGCAACAGCAGTGATGATGTGTTATTAAATGAAAATAAAAGCAGCTATTTCCTTACAAGGAAAGTGCCTGCTCTTTAACTGTATTTTATCATGTGTCTATCATTCTACAAATCCCTTCTAAATCTCTTGTTTTATCCTCTTAAAATAAGGCTGACTGTAATTTTTAAAAATTCATACTTTAACACAAATAATCAAAGGATGAGTATTTGCAAATTTCATTAAAAAATTAAAAATAAGTGGTAAAATATTTTTAATATCACAAAACATGCCCTAAGCACTAGTTTAAGAATTATTGCTCATATCTATACTTTGTCGGGCATCAGCAACAGCTTCAGGCACTCGGACAGTCATATTGTTCATATATTTCTTCAAGCAAATTTGACAACCCAAACGTGATCTATAGAAGGAAAAAAGTATATTGCATCAAAGACAATATTATAACACTGTACTACTGTAATATTGCAATTGTAATATTACAATTACAATATTACAAACACCACTTGTAAGAATATATTGATGAAGTAATGTCTATTCAGAATTACGTGTAAGGATAAAAAACTAAAAAGAAAGAGTTTCTATAAATACTTAGCCTTAAATCAGCTTTTCTCAACTTGGGGCCCTCCAGTTGTATAGACTTCAACTGCCAAAATTCTCAGCAGTGACCATGTTGGCTTGGCAATTCTGGGGGCTGTGGTTTCTACATCTGGAAAGTGCCTTGACTGGGAAAGACTACTTTAGACTTTTCAATCTGCTTTGCATATTCACTTCTTGTAATTCACACATTTTCTAGCTAAGGTAGAAAGGTAGAAAGAGTAAACTTTAAATTTCCTACATCCAATCTGTACAACATATATTGTGATTAACTCTTTATTCCTTTAACTTTTTGATATAAGATCACAAGAAAGGATAATTCCAGAAATATTTCAAGTTACACAAACAGAATAAGGCAACGCAGATTATTTGCAAAGGTAAAGCTTCATGGAAGAGTAACTTAAATAAATGAATTTCCTTTATTCTGTGAAGATATAACATTGTTTTAGATATTAATTCTGAGACGCCACTAAGCAAACCTTAGAAAGGTAAAGAAAATAGGGATTTACAAACAATACCTTGCACAAGAAACTTAACATTCCAGCTGTTTAAGGGTCAAAGTTTAGAGCCTAAGACTGGACAACAAAAGTTAACTTTGTGATTAGGTTTGGATTAAACTGGTAAGCTACCGTTAACTAAATGCTGAAGCAAAAATGTCCGATCCTCTCCTGACCTGATAACCAGTAATACATTGCAGATAAAAAAACTAGACAGTATAATTCAAAGCAAGGATAAGCAAACACACTAGCTAGGGGGCACATTTGGAATTTTGAAAGTAGTAGTGAACATTCTACCAAAATGTTCATTAATGGCAGCCACAGTGGGTATGTTCAATCACAAAGTATTAATGAACTTAATTCATACCACACTCTACAGAATTCCCTCTCACTCCCTACTGTTCCAGGGCATCTTTGTTTTCTGAATAGGTGAGCACACTTCCAACAGAATTCTGGACTGTAGCTTTTTGATATAAGAATGCTTATAGGGCCTATGTTTTAATAAATAAAATGATACCATCTCTCCTTTTAAAGTCTAAAAAATAACAGAGGACAGGTGGAAAAGGGAGCATGATGCCTGTCAAGAGTAATTTCCATGGACAGATAAGCATTGCCTGTCCTTGACCTAAGCAGCATGTGGTCAACTGAATGACAACTGTTAAGATATTCTCATAGATTTTATGTTGATTCTACCTTACCTTTCTGTCAAGCCATAGGCAAGATCCAGCATATCCATTTCTTCATCTGTAATTGCATCTAATTTTTCAAATATGTGGTCTTCAAAAATTAAGTGACACGTAGAGCAGGCAAGTGTTCCTTCACATGCACCTAAAGATGAAACAATTAAGCACACATTTAAGAGCTCTCCATTACATTTCAACATCACTGAGTGTTCATCATTCAACATCAACATTGTCCCATACATTAATGTGAGACAACCACATTCGTACAGAAACTTCGCATTTCATGGATATTAAGTGTATGATCTTTGAGGGGGGGAGGGAATGGAAGGATTTATGCTGTTTCCTCCTCATAATTAACATTTCACAGTTTGGCAAAACAGATGTATGAAATAAGCTTAAAGTGCCATGAAAGTTGTAACACAAATTAGTTTGTTAACCAGGAAGCAATAGTCTTGTTCACAATTTTCAGTAAAGTCATTTTCAGTAAAGTCACTCACCCCACATGTATTGGACTAAATCTCCCACGATTCATAACTACTTTCTGGATAATTTTAATTCAACATATCTGAGGACACCAAGCTGAAGAAGGCAGAGTTACAATATTTGTTCCTCTCTCCTTTCAAATAGTTTAAAGATATAGTAAGAAGCATCAAAGGCAACATTAATTGTGACAAATTAGTATAATGTATGCAGAAGACGTATCCTGATAGTACAAATAAACTACAGATATGTTTAGATCTGTACAGATACAGTACAAATAAAGATAAAACATGAATATTTGTGTTGTAACAGCAACAGAACCTTTTAACTGAAAGAAAATTATGCTAAACAAGAGAAGGATTTCATCAAGCAGGCAAATATTTAAAACATGAAACATCAGCATATTATTTGTGCGTCTGCCATGCCCCCTAGTGACATAAAAAAAGTTGGAACAGACACAATTTTCTTTTTTAGGCATTATCAATGTAATTGATAATTTAGAAGATTGAGAATTTAAAATGTGGACAGTATTTTTAAACTTTCCAATTTTACTTTCTGTATCTGGAATATTAAAAAGTGTGAAGTCAGTTTTAAGATGCCATATGATTCCAATATGCTAACACATGCAAATTAGTTTGAGGCTAATTTTTTGTTTTCTGGAAAATACTATTATGGCTACCCTTCTGGAAATCTGTTACAATTTCCTGATATTTTTAGCTCTGTTAATCACAATTTATCTACGTTTTAAAATGCTTGTTGTTATGCTGTCTATGTTTGTAAGCTTCCATAAACTCACTGAAAAAAGGCTGTATGTCTTTGAATAAATAGATTTACTAAAGTGGCACTGGACTCAGTGCAGTGCATTAGAGACCCTTGGTGAGATAAAGCATCAAAGAAACCAAAACTGGGAAGGACCATGTCTAAGTCCAAAGAAGAAGGCAGGATAATTGTCGTAGCAAAGACAGCAATATAAACAGAAAAGCAGCTGGCCACTAGCTTTATATGTTTCAGAAGAATTTACATATTTTATTTAAGCCACAATACAATTTGTTTGCTTTTGGCTTAGTATAGCTGTGGATCTTATCATTATGTCTGTAAATATTTGCTGATGGGTTGAGGTTACTTTGAACTTTGCTGCCATCTCTTGTCCAAAAGATTATGGTTATAACATGGTTTGTCATTTAACACAATGTACAAATCCAGCCTTGGGTGTCCAAATTCAGTTGTATAACCAAGATTCCCCCATTATATATAGAGGACTCTTTCAAACTGAGAAGCAGAGCTGACTTCAACTGGACAGATTATATAGAAGGATAAACTACATGATGTGAGAATAAACACATACCTGTTGAAATATTACACAAACCAACAATATTAGGGCATTCTTTTTACTAATTTTAGTAAAAAAAAAACTTATACCAGTGATGCTTAGAAGTGATTAACTTTGAATCAAAAGTCACCAAGTTTCAATTTTTAAAAATGAATTTAAATTCCTTATAGGAAAGTAAATACATTTACTTACCAAATCCATCTATGTCTAGATTGTTATCTATCACAACATCTAGAAGTGAATCTCCAACCTTCCCTTTGGCTGTTAGTTTATCACCATCACGATTTATAAAGTGCACTGTAACTTTTTCTTCTGAGCTGAAAAAAATAAAATAATCCAGTATTTTATTATTCTGTTTTAATCCAATTTTTCACATGCTTTAATTACTCCAATTCTGCTCCAATCTCCATCAGAAAAACCACTCAGCTCAGAGTTTAGGGACTGAGCATTTCCATAGCGCCTATAATTATTTATTTTTCACATTTCTATCTCACAGCAACCAAAGGCTCTCAGTAGTTTACATAATATAAAAACCAATTAAAACATCCATAGTACAAACTTTCATAAAAACAGCATAAACCAGACATAATGCAAACAGTTAAAAACAGAAGTTAAAGATGGCATGATAAAGTTAGGGAGAGGCTCTTGGAAATTTTTAATAACTTCCAGAACATCAATAAGGTCATATTTAGTAACTTCTAGAACATCAATAAGGACTGATCATTACTGGGATGTTGTTCTACACTGTCAGTGCTGCTACTGAAAAACTGCACCTTCTTGCTACAGCCCTTGAATCTCCTGAAAATCTGGGATCAATACGAGTTTCCCTCTATTTGATCTAACTGGTTTGGCCAGTACTGGTTGGAATATTTATCCTATTCTTTTACTCAGCTTCCATTTCTGGGTATTCTGCATTCAGACCATTGAGGGTCTGGATAGACAATTTTTTTTTTTTTTTTGCTCATAGAAGGGAAAAAAAACCTAACTGGCCACATTGGCGCATCTTGAAAAAGGTAAGGCAGGTTGAAGCTGGATACTATTTGAATGGGAAATCAGGAAATCTCAGGGATGAAGACTAAGCCAGGAAATTAAAAAAAAAAAAAATCTAGAAAGTGGCAATAGCAAACTACTTCCGTGTTGTTTCCAAGATCTACAGTTACTAAAACTCAAGCTTGATTGAAGAATACTTTATTTTACTTAGCCTTTCTGATCCCAAATGTGACATTCAAGTGCACACAAATACATATGCTGATAGATGTTTAATTTATTTCAATGTATATGGATATCAATCTCAAATTCCTGACTCTGGACAGATAATCCCCCATCATCTTCTTTCTTTCCAGATTATTTGTGGCAGATGAACAGCAGTCATTGGTGGATTGTCAAATTATGAATTATCCCAGCATCATGCCAACCAGCTGATTAAATAGCTATCTAACTAGGGGAACTAAAGCCCCTGGGGTATATGTCCTTTACTTCTCATTTCTGTTTGGGGGCTTTAAACAGTCAAACAGCTGATGTTGAACATCCACTCTAAAACGAATTGTAGTCTACTGTATCTTAGCTGAAGGAAGCAGAAGCCTTGCACAATTACAAAATACACCACATTGTATTAACATAGGTGGAATCCAATGTGCAGAACTTGCATGGGGTTATTCCTCTTATGTGCATAGGACTGGGGGATCCTCCAGAGCAGATCTGGAATGCTTAGAGAAAGGTACGTTTTCCTCTACTTTGCAAAAAAAGAAAGTGCAACTGCCAGAGAGCGATTAGACAAGTATATGTTCAGGACAGTGGTTATCCTGCAATAGTGGCGAGTTCTTACTTGGTCTCACTTCCACCATTTGAACTCCCATTTCAGCAGCCCACTTTAAAAGAACAAGATTAACTTAATGGATCCTGTGCCTATATGAGCACAGAACTGCTGGGCTTGCTCCATATTGTGTGTGGGGTTGTGTAACAGCAGTGTTACACAACAATATTTATTTGTTGACTGAATTGCATTTACATGGAGAAACAATGGACTGCTTACAACTCTCCTTTAACTCAAAAAACAAAGGCTAGCATATCTTGTCCTAACGCAACTAATTATTTTGTTTACACCATTTTGTTTTCACATGTGGAAAGCAAGCAGTGCACTTCGTAAGATGAAACTAGATGCCTATGAAACTTGAGGCCACTGCATACTTAATTGTGCTTACTGAAAAGCTTACTGAGTAGATATTAAATAATATGCTTACATAGCTTGCTGAATCATAAACCGTGGTATACAAGTCAAAGTCAAAGTATGTTATGCAAGCCCAAAGCCACAAACAAGCAGATTCCCATTTGGATTAGAGTGTTCTATAAACACAAGCACCAATGGTTAACAGAAGCATGGTTTATTTATTTTTGTTTGCTCGCGCAACACACTGAACTATAAATTGCTCTCAGGGGCCGCATTCGGTCAACACTGGGGTCCCATAACTGATTACAAAAACCCGTTTTTGCAGTCCAGCCACAGCAGTGTTACACAACAATGTTGCGCTCGGCGGGGAAAGGGACCGCAGCCACGGCTGGCATTTTCTGCGACCTCCAAGCCGACTATCCAAGAGATGGGCACCGCGCCCTTCTTCCTCGAGCCAACCTCGCGGTCTTCCCTGATCTGGAGCCGCTAACTCCCTAGGAGCAAGAGGAGAGGAATGCGAACTGAGCTACCCGGCCGCCCACCTCCAATTCAGGCCGGGAAGGTGACTTGGCGAAGAGATGGAGCTGCTCCCCGCCGCTTACCTGAGCCCCGCCGCGGCGTGGAAGGGCCGGCAAGGGCCCAGGCGGACTGCGCTACTCCAGCCGGTGCTAGTCCGGAGAGGAGCCGCCAGGAGCCGCCAGGAGGAAGACGGCGCAGCTCGGGAGAGAAGACGGAAGCAACCTGAGGTGGCCATGCTGCAACGGCAGGCGAAAGCGATTCTACGAAGGCGGCGGAAGAAGCAGCGCGAGCAACTTCCGCTTACTTACCAGTTGCTGAAATCCAAAGGTCGGCCCGTTTATCCAAGGAGAATCCACAGCGGCTATTCTCGTAGGTGTTTACGCTGCCGACGTCAGAGGTGCCGCAAAATGCACGGGACTTCCCTGTATGGAAGACGGGTTACGGGAATGACGGAAATGAAGCTCTCGGGCGCATGCGTGCTACGGAGAATGCGCAGAGTGCCTCGGCGGGAGCGCTTGGGTTGGGGATTGCACCCAGTCGCCTGCCTTGGCTTCCCAGGCTTGCCCTCTGCCTACGCGGCTCCCTTTCTGCCGGCTGCCCCGGCTCCCTTTCCGTTTAGGGATTTGGGGAATGTGTAACAAGACAGTAGTGGCCAGAACGGGCGTCCTCGGGAGGTTGTTGCTGTTGGACCATTCAAATGGGAGCCAGACATCCGAGACGCGTAACAGTTGAAGCTCTTCACCCGGAACGAGGAGGGGGCGACTGCAGAAACAGCCGGGTTAGCAGCCCACTTATACAGAGCTAGTGTAGGGATTGTCGACTGAGCAGCTATAAGCCAGATGACCATTAGCAGCAAAGAAATACACAAACCTGACATTTTGCTGCCGTTTAGAGAGTTCCGAGTTTTGCAGCCCGGGATTGGTAACCCGATCTGGCTGAACAGTAGCTGTCAGAATCCCCAAACACGGGCTATGCTGGACAGATTGCTGGCTATTATAGTTTATCAACCTTTAGAACACCATAGCTTCTCCTAAAGCTGAAGTAGAAATACAGTCAGCCATTAAAATGTGCAGAATCAAGGAGACTTGCCAAGTCTGTATTAAAAAACTCTCCAGAAACGTAGAGAGGAAGTCAAGAGGAAGTCAAGAGGAATTTAGAGAGCTCATGGCTGCAGCACCATTCCAAAATGCTTCTGCCTCCTGCAGTCCTGCATCACATCTGGCACAATGATAGTGATAATGGGGCCTCCAAAACCAGCGCGAGTTGACCTCAGACTTCTCCTCTCCGACTGCTTAATTAACAAGTTGGCTAAACATTTAGATTATTTAGATATTGCTAGCTACATATGTAGCATTTTACAACAGACAGGTTTTACGGGTTTCTTCCTATAAGAGGTGTATAATCTTAAAGCACAAAATTATTTCAATTACACATGCATTTAAGTTACCAATTTCTGTACTTTGTATAAAGTTGCTTATCCAGAAAGAAAATAGCATGGTATGTTACATTAGTGAAGAACTGGAGCAGTGAATCCATCTTTTGAAGAATCCAATACTTTGCAAGGAAACATTCATGCAAAAGACTTTGTCCATCTCCGCTGAGGGGCACTGCCTCTCTGCCCATACCCCACAAAACTGCACTGCATTTCACCCCTCCAGCAGGTTTGGGAGCTGCAGAGAAGGGAAGTTGCCATCTTCCCGATTTCACCGTCAGAAATAGTTCATACCTAGTAACGGATAGTTACCTAAACAATTTTGTAAAATATACCTTAAGATATTGGCTGGATTTATATGTTTCACTAGATCACAGGATACTTCCTTTGGTTTTGGTTTAATATTTATGTGAACCTAGCAATTGCAGCTTCTAAATCATGATTTGTAATTTAGCCAATAGTCCTAGCCAGTTGAGGTTTGTTCCATATAGCATATTTAAAGAAATCATGGCTAACCATGTCTTTAAGGTGTAACTTAGGTACTTAATGGATTTTATAACAGTTTTTCTTTCTGGAAGCGGTCAAAGTGTAATGGCTAACACATTTGGATTTCTGTTCCACAGATCCACTGCTTTGTAGTTTTGTACAATTTAATTACCTTAATGCTGTGATCTTTTCATTTTGTAATCACAACTAAGTTAGCACATGCAATCGTACACCAATAGGGGGCAGAGCAAATCAAGGAAGGAGCAACATTATGTGGATCGTGAATGTGAGTGTCTGCATAATAATTCATGTAAAATGCTCTCGCTTCAGCGTTTGCCATATAAAAATAGATACCTTTCCAACATATTGCCCCAGCAATCCCTTCTCCCTTTCAGTGAATTCACTATCATATGCTAGCACAACACTACCATTACCTTATATTTACTGCCCCAACATCTCCATAAAATGAAAGAGACAGGATGGCAAGTTCCAATTTAATACTAGAGACCATATGAGATTTGACAGAAAGAAAATATCCTCATGCACAACCTGATATATGCATAAAGAGCTAAAGTACAATTATTAAGCTTGGTCAAAGAATATTAGACTTGCACAACACAAAAAAATAAACCTCATAATTAACACAAGTTCCTGGCTAGGCCTTTACCTACCTCAACCAAGAAAAAGGACTCTTAAATAGATGCTCCCTCTGCTTTTCACATTACTCAATTTCCCCACAGAATCCAGCTGTGTATCAGAGACTGGGGACATAGTAGTCCATACTTATTTTTCAATCTCAGCAACTTCTGCTTGGTTTTTAAAGTATTCTTAATTTCCCAGTTTTCAGCAGAGGAGCAGCTATGGGCCTCTCTCTGCATCTATGTGAGATTTCCCTTATTTTTATAGAGGATGTCTAAGATCTATGAATGCATTTACCTGCCACCTGGCAAGGAGGATGTTCAGAACACCTGTCTTCAGGATCAATATATCCTGGATTAGTGCCACTGCTACCTGGGAAGCGGAAGCTTCTCAATCTGTGGTTCAGGAACCCCGCTATGATGAAAGAATGCTGCTGCAGAAGATGCAACTGTGGCCGGAATTGAGACCTCTGATGAAAAGACAGATCAGCCAGCTAACACAGCAACCTATCCTGAAGACTGCTTTTTGGAATTGGAGAACAGGGTTTTGGAAACCCCACTGTTTCCCTTTTTAGATCCATGCACAAACAATTAGTTTGTGGGCTTCCTTTCTGAAGATAATCATAGAATAATTACTGCAAATGATATACACTGTCAAACTTCAGTATACTTATTTAGTGGATAATCCAATTTTTCTGGTAATACTCAAGGATGCCTATGAACCATTGACTTGACTAGTGCTCCTAACTCAGTTTAAGCCAGCTAAAGATTTATTGCAAAAACTGGCTTTAGACATTGTACAAGCTTCAACAGGAAAGGTGTCAAATTCTATTTTAATATTCTACTCCAAATCCTATGGTAGGAGAAGCAGCCAAGGAAAATCTAATGTATGGCTTCATACAATCTGATAGAGGATTACAATGGTAATGTGATGACCACTGCTCATATTCTATAGTGCTTCTCAGGATTGTCAACAACCGAACTTGCTTGTTGGGCCACTTCCAGGCATTTCTGTGAGGAATAGGTAGCTGTAACTTCCAGCTCAATCTCAGGCAATGAAAGGAATTTGACTGTTTTCTTGGTAGAGGCATCCTGCCTTTCCAAGCAGCAGAAAATATCTCTGACTATAACTCCATAGCAATATCAGATGTAACTGCCCTGTGACTTGACTTGGCTTTTTGCATGACTTCAAAGTTTTGCTTGATTTCAAAGTTCCAGTCTTTGGTGGTGGTTTGAATCTGGACTGACTTACCATTGATAAGAAGAGTCTGTTTGGCCAGTACGTGATAGCACATGGGAATGGATTCTGGTACTACAGCAATAAGAGTTTTCTCTTGCCCTTGATAGCAAAGTTCAGATTTTATCCAGACTCAGTGCAACACACCATCATGGTTTGCAAATCAACCTACAAATCCCACTAGAAGAATTCTTACAAGAGGAGATATGGGGATGATTCAGGATATTGTTTTTTACTGTCCCCAGATTCCAGAAGTCAGTCTTTTCTGTCCTGTTTGGTTCATTACTTCAGACCATGGGAATCCATGACCTTGGGTGCTGACAGTAGTAGAATGGGTATACAATAGTGTTCCATTTGGTACTACAGTACCACTGTATTATGTTGTCCATCCAATGGAACTATAGTTATACAAGGTATCCGTGATTCCTAGGCAAATGTTGCCCAACACTTAAGTGTTTTGGTGTAAACCAAACAGTTGGATGGAATACCCTGTTTAGATCTCTAAAAAGTGGTCATGCACCACTGGGCATGACAATGTACAGCTCTACTGTATTAAAGTCCCAAAAGCAAGAGACAGATGTGCTGTGTATGTGTGTGTGTGCAGGGGAGGTTGGAAATACTAATCACTTCTGACAGCTCGACATTGTCGCAACTACATTGACCTTCCTAGAATGGGTTTTGATTGCTGATGTGTCTAAAGAACATAGGCTTTAAAAATCTTTTTATTGCTGTGAAAGTTCAGCAAGTTGAAACGACCAATAAAGATGTTATTCTCCACAATGTATGTTACTGAAAGGATTCTATTCCACGTCTTCTGTCAATCATAATTTGCTGGACATAGTTATATTCCTATGAATTGACATTTCTACAGATAAAGGGAAAACAAATATAATTTAAAATCCATAGAGACAGTACTAGACTAATTGAAGTTTTACAAAAAGTTGCAAGCTTTTAAGTTTTAATAACTCAGGTTTCTAAGAACTGTGGCTAATCTTTGAGTCATGCCTGTACCAGACCACATTCTTAAACTTCATTCTCAAAGGGAGTGACGGAGACCTCCAGACATGCAAATAGAGCCTTATCAGTTAAGAGTAGTGTTAAGATATACTAATAAACTGGCCCAAAGCTTGTTGAGAAAAAGAAACAAGGAAATGCTTGTTAATATTTCTGAAATACAATTTTCAGCTGTTAATATAAAATATGGGAAATATAGATGTTGCAATCCTGATAAAGTCCTCTGCCCTTGCATTGTTGATGGATGATCACCAATTGTGCTGCTTAATTGAGGACAGTCCTCTGTTAGTGGCAGCATGTGTTTCAAAAGCAGTTCAGTCCACGTCTGGTTTAAAGATAAAGAACAGTTGCTCATCCAAATTTGGAAAACAAACTGAACAGGTTATCTGGTAACAATCTTTCCCACTCTGACAGCAAGTATTGTATTTCTTTTAATTTACATGAACATTTAGCAACAACTCCAGATGTTGTGCTGTAATTCCCATTAT